AAAAAAAAAAAATGACCACGATTCGTTTACTCTGTCGTTTCTTGCTATACTTCTGCCTGAGAGATCTGAAATATTGATGCAAATGATAACGTACCATTCAGTTAGTCACTTTCGAAAAATCTATCACATATCTACTTTATACAAAATCTTTGCTAATGTCTTACATAAAGCGGAATAATTACAAAATACATTTCGTCTGTGTATTTTTTAGATGAAATAATAATAATAGAAGATAATCTCCAAGTTAATTATATTTCTTTGATAATTTTCCAAATCACACTTGTATTTCATCCTTTAATTCTTTGTTACGTGTTTCCATATCATATACTTTAATCTTTTTACATGTCGCATACATTCCTGTGAAATTGTTATATTCACTGCGATTTGTTCAGAATGTTCGTAGAACAATTTGAGAAAAATCCAAAATCAATGAATGTACGCTACAAATTTTTTACAAATAATCTAATACACATATAATGTATTAGTTATTGATTATTGAATAAAAAACATCCCTTTCTTTTTCTTTTCCTTGCTATCAAGTAATGCAAAACGATCTAACATACGATGCTTCTTCGTGTCCCTTCTTGTCATCTAACTTCTTTATGATTTTCGTGTGATCAATGTACTAATAAAAAGTTTGAATAAAAATTAAATTTTTCTATGAAATTGCAAATAAGGTATAGAATCATAAACCAAGGTATTTTATAATCATAAACCAAGTATATACGTAGAATTCTATACTGTACTAATTCTTTATACGTATTATGATGTCATTGGATTTGAACTATAATTCCATGTAAAACCTATTATATTCTTAATGTTCTTAACATCATTTGCAAATTATGTCATTTTCAAAACTATTAATTAAACGAACATGATTTTTCCACACTTTTATTTACGAGAGCTTAAGCTCGTTAGATAATGACATTTTAAGTGCAAAAAGTTGCAGATGATTTTGCAATTTTCTACATAAAATATTTTTGAATATTTAAAAATATATTTATTTTGTTGCTTCAAATTAATTTTGTAAGTTAATAATTTTGGAAAATAATGCAAGAAATATCGATACTAGTAATTTAAAATTACACGTATCGATATTAAATCTTATGTTGATTATTTTGATTTTCAAAATTACCAAAAGTTATTATTATTTCAAATTACTAAAAATTACGCGGTTATTTCAGTTTTCAAATTAATCAGAGAAACAATTACAGTGCGTTATAATAATTTTAACGTGAAATCCATCAAAAAAATTAATATAAACTACATTTCATAAACTACATTTTATTGAAATATATCTTTTAAGATTTTTAAATCAATTTGTGAGAAAATAAATATTATTTGAGCACGTAATTGCGATTTCGATCTATTGAATAGAATTTGCAAATTTTTATATATAGATCAACTGGAATATAAGAGGAAAGCTTAAAATTTAATTATAAAAGTTCATAAATTAATTAGTTCTTTTCATAAATGGAAAATTTAGTCAATTTACTTAGAGACTGAAATACTGGCGCCACATAGCGATGAAACCATGGAACTAAAATCTCTCTGCTTATCGCACATTATTACGTTTCTTGTCTGATACACAACTTATTTCTATCCTTGTCACACACTCTCCTTATCTATCAAACGAAATATTTCGAAATATATTGTGTAAAAATTTTAAATTTTCATTCATACATTCTATAAGTCAAATGAAATATAGGAAAGAAATTTAGGGTCTAAAAACGAAAATAGAACCATAAGAGTTCATAAATTAATCCTCTAAGGTAGTTTTTTTTAAAAAATGAAAATTTAATCAGTTCATGGGCACAATGAAATAAAATGGTGAAATATGAATTTATTTCTATCCTTGTCGTAGACTATTGCGCTCTTTATCTACGAATAGTACTGCCATCTGCTCTCAGCTTCATCTGAAATCTGAAACCATAGAAAAGATAGTAGAGAGGCATTCAATGCATTTTTGCGTTATACACTTGGGAGATTTTACAGATTTTACAGGTATAAAATAGATGCAATCTGTATATCTGCACAGTCTGTGCTGAAATTAAAAAGATAAAAATGTAAAATTCGATGATAATATGCAGGGATAAATATTCATCAGATAAAGATAACAATAGTATGTGACAGGACAGTAATATCGATTAGTTCCACAATTTCATCGCTCTGTGGTGCTAGTATTTCAATGTCCATGAATGGATCAAATCTTCATTTGCAAAAACAATTTAATTTAAAAATTCATAAATTATTTAAGAGGATTAATTTATGAGTTTTTGTAGTTACATCTTGATTTTTAAATCTTAAGCTTTCTTGTCCGCTTACCTACAACACGCATGAAGATTTGCACAAAGTCTTTTAAATAGATCAAAGCCTTGAAATCAATGGTTTTAAACTACGAATAATTACGAATAATGACGTTGCGCATGCGTATTATAGAAGAATGGTTTTTGAATCGTTCACTCTTGAAACTGAGATTGTGAGATCGAATTGAATGAGTAACAGGGAAATTGGAAATTGCGTGAATTACATTATATCCAGCAGGAAAAAGAAAAAGTACTAAGTAGATTCAAATATGAATCATCAATTTGAGAAATTGAGAGAGCGTGGCGATAAGTTGGAATTGCGCGTATTTGTTCAAGAGTCGAGCATAGAGGAGGTAACCGTCAAAATTCTATTAAAAAGATAACATGTTACTAGTACATGACATATGAAACGAATAAAACTTAATTAAAGATTGAAACATATAATTTCAATAGCTTACGCGATTAATGTGCAGTAGTATTTGTAAGTCGGATGGAATAAAAGTATTAGACGATCTTCTGCAAGCATTTTCTGATTCCGAAACTTGTCAAGCAAAACGACGAAAACTTACTGAGTTTACCTTGAAGAGTTTGGAAAAGTCTAACGTATCTGCAGGACAGGCGAACGTGATCGTCAATCGGATAATTTCTGACTTGCCAAATTATTCAAAGCAACAGCTCATCAAATTTGTTGACTTTTGTCTCACAAGTATTCGCAATAACGACAATGAGCTGTGCAAGTAAAGCAATTTATTTTCCTTTTATTATTTTCCTTTTTCTTGTTCTGCTTTTCTTGATATGGAATCTTCTTAAATTCTTTTTTCAGTTGGAAAGACTTATTACCCGCATTATTGGAAGCATTGGAAAATGAAAAATACATTGTTTACGCGGATACTGAAGTATCAGGGACTGAATATAAATCATTAATTGTCAAAGCTATATGTAATTATCACTGGGACGTCAATCTTTTACCATCTTTGACAAAAATGTTTGGGTAAGATTTTGATATTCAAATAACCGAATCTTACATCTATAAAATGTTCAAGACATGAAATTATTTGATTTTATCAAAATTTAAAGGGATATGGTATTAGATAAGGCAGATCGCAATGAGGTTTTAAGAGCACTGTGTTCTGCTCTTCCAAATCTTCCTTTGGATCAAGTTCCCTCATTTACATATCAAGCCCTAAAATTATGCCCAAATCGAGATAATCAAAAACTTTTGGATGCTTTGTCCAAATACTTTGATCTTTGTTACTCGAAAACAAGTTTGTCTGATGACAGAGATAGTTTTGAAGATATTGGTATGTAAACAAAAAGACGTGAATATCTATGTGTATTTATTATGTAATTTTTAAATTTCTGTTCTTCTTACATTTATGTTTACAGATACAATTAATTTAAAAGAGGTACAGGATATTGAAAGCACTGTTTTATATCATGTGTACCAAGCTGCTCAGTTAAATCATGAAAACATGAAAGATTTTATCCGTTTTCTTAAACATGTGTCTCATGCTTCAGAATATATGCTACAACCTTTCATGCTTTCTATATTGATGTCAGTTTCTGGTATATATGAAGATCAGGTATATCAAATCTTTAATATGTAATAAAAAATTTGTGTACATTTTGATTTTATTGTTTTAATGTTGAAAAATTTTTTACAGATTTTTGAGATATTAAGATTGGTCATTGTTCACAATAGCTTAGAGAAAGAAAAACGACAAAACAGTGCATGGTTGAGACAACTTTTACCTATACCCAATGATATAACTCAAATTATTCAACAAGTGATTGGTAGCAGGTCAATTCAATTGCTATCTTCTTTTTCACATGTACTTCTTATATTACTGTTTAATTATCCTACAGCAATAAAGATCGTCATTTAGTATTAAGAGGACTTACAAATTTAGCTTTTACATTAATGAATGATGATCAAAAATCCAAAAATAATGCAACAACTACGTGGCATATTGGATCTGAAATAATACGAGAAATAATTAAAAAACGTCATGAAACAGTTCCTCTCATATTACAAGAGTTGATTAATAAAATAATAGCAGGTGGTGTGACAACAACACACTATATAGGTAAAAAACAAATAATATTACAAAATTGCATCAAATATGATTCTATTTTTTTTATCCTAATTAAAAAAAAAATGTTTTCTAGATTGTTTAAAGTATATGTGTCGTGAATTGTCAATGATTGTTTTGGAACATCAAGTTTGGATTATGACTATCCTTGAACGATTGTTATTTTTGCATCCTACAGTTGCTAATCAAATTCTGTTTGCTATTTTTCCATTGGCACGTATTTCACCAAATATACGAGAAAATCTTTTGTTGACTTTGAGAAAAGCTCTCTACAGGAAAGGTGTCTCAAAACGACAGATGGCTGTGACAGGATTTCTTGAAATGTTAAAATGTACAAAAATGCGTTCTCAACTTAGCTTTAGACTTAGTCAACATTCTAATTCAATGATTAGCTCTAGTTTAAGATCTACATTAACTCAGGTAAATGTACAAAAATTATTTTAAAAAATTTAAAGAAACTATTGTTTTTACTGATGTTTGCAAAAAAAATATTGTAATTTTTATCACTTAATTTAGGTGACTTTAGAATATAACTCGCAACGCGAAAAATCAGTTACAGATTGCGATAAAACTTTGTATTATGAAATATTGGACATATTAAAAAAGACTTTTACTTATGAGTTTGAAATTAGATTGCATTTGTATGAAAGTGAGTATGATTTATTTGAATGCTTAACAGTTTGATATTTAACAAATTGTCATTTTCTGAAATTAAATTGTTTTTAGGTCTGTATGCTACTGTAATCAAAAATCCCGAAATAACAGAAATTGTATTAGATATGCTTCTTTCACATTTGAATCTTTATCTTAATACAGATGATAATGTCTTGCCACCTGTAAAATTGGAATTGTGTACAGACGTCCATGAAGAGGAAGTAATTTTACAAGAACCTATTGCCCAATTGATATTTACCTTACAAAAGATATATATTAATACAGTTGTTAAAAATTTACATACTTCTGAAAAATTACATGATATTTTGGAATCACTGTGTAAGAAAATGGCAATTACAGAATTAGAGCATTTAAATCTGGTAAGATCAAATATCAGTATAAAAAGTAGTATAGATACATCAATGTAGAAATAAATAATTTTCTGATAATTTTAGGAACATGAAACGAACTTACTTCATGGAGACTTTCAGAAGTCACAGATAAAGCTAAAAAATCTTGGTATAGCTATTGGAATTTATGAGGCTTTAATGGCGTTTCGAATCGGTGAATGGTCAAAAGAAAATAAGGAAAATTTTCATGATATTAATAATTTGTTCAAAGCGTACACATGCTTGATAGATTTTTTTAAAACGGTAAATTTTCTTTTATTT